TTTTTTTTTTTTTTTTTTTTTTTTTTTTTTTTTTCTGAACTCGATGGAAATTTTATTTCGAACGGGCCCGGTGCCCAACGCTTACATCAACATATTGAAAAGTGGCGGTTTCTGAACTCATTGGGAACCGACCGAAGGCTAGTGTATGGGGTGAGGCTCATGGACGATGTGTCCATTTTCCTGGCCTATAACAAGGGAGATGAAAAGTCCGTAGTAAAAGCCAATAGAATCAGAAGGAGGTTCGAGACTTGCTATCCAAAGTCACTTTTTCCTTTTCTGGGTTGTTTCCAACGAACCAAGAATCAGGACACGATTTGGTCCTCTGACCAGGTTATTTTCAGAACCGGTCAGGACTTCAATTCGTGGTCCTCCAGAAGGCAGAAGTTGGCGTCTAATACGGGTTGGATGTACCGAATAGACAGGAATACGGCGGATCGGGAATACGGAATACGACGGATCGAGCCCGTATTTCCCAGCAGGTCCTTACCCTGAGGAAAGAGTATAGGGCAAAAAGTTGCTCTGATCGCTTGTTTGCAAATGCCCTTGGGAACTTCGCGCGGAATCGCGACTCGTTTTGGCAATTGACTGCCAGTCTTCTTTGTGGAAACACGGAAGAGCTACTGCTATATATAGATTAGTCAGACTACGGTCTAGTCGTCTTTCGACATGGCGCCGGGCATGTGCCTGCCAGTGGTTTTGGGAAGTGGAAGTGCAGGCACAGTACAGGGGGAAGAAGTGGTGGAGAGTTGAGGTGTATTCTCGAGTTGTCGTTTCGCGATCTCTTGGATGTTACTCTCTCTATTGAAAGCTTTTGTCGCAGTTTCTTGGACTTCGATCTTGTTGATCGTGTGTGTGTACTTTCACCTCTTACATCAACATAGCAGAGAATTAGATGAAAATAGCAGAGGGCAACTGGCCTCGGGTGCACTCCCCATCCCGAGCCATCCCTCTGTAGAAAACCAGAAAACAAAAACACTTCTCAACAACCTAATTCCTAATACTACCTATTACCTAAATGCCGTAAAAACGCAAAGAAACGGCAAAACACCGAAAATTATATCACGAAAAACCTATGGCGAACACAACCACCAAACCCCACAGCTAAAACCTAAAACGAAGGAAAACCTGTGGAAAGCCACAAAACAAAAACGCTACTCAACAATCGAATTCCTAATACTACTTAGATACCATAAAGACTCGAAAAACAGAACACAAGCACCAGAGTTCATCTCACCAAATCGTCTATCGAGCAAAACCAAAACCTATCGAAACCATTCCCAAGACCATCGTCCCAAAAACACCGGAAACCCACGGAAAAACAAAAACCTGCCGACTGAAAAGAAACCAACAAACCAATCCTAAAACCAAAAAACAACTCAATCTCAAAGAGTAAACATAAAATAGGCCGTGGACAACCAAGAAACCCAGACCTACCGTACCACCAACAAGCCAATCCTAACACTCACGGAGTGTCGTTTAAGAAACAGCTAACAGATCCTCTATAAAACGACACAGCACTGGGGGCGAGGTCCAACTAGCAATGAGAACTGAAGTTAAAATGCCTGAATCTGAACGTGCCCTGGGAGAGGTGCAGAAAATGGCGATTGCTCCGTTTTTATGCATCTCTCCGCAAAACACATCCAGATTCGAGCTCTTAATCGAATCCCTTTTTGATAGTGGGACCTCGCCCCTGGTCGTATGAGGCCTGTTCAAAGACACGAAAGAAAATGGCCACCCTTAGGGCGTACTCATTCTAGCACTTTTCAAAATGTATCTGATCCCAAAAAAAAAAAAAAAAACCACAAAAAAAGTATCTGATCACAATTACGGTTGGACCTGGATGCCTCTGACCGCAACAATCACGTCCAGATCGTAGTTGAAAACCTAGTACCTTCAAAAAAAAAAAAAAAAAAAAAAAAAAAAAAAAAAAACCTAGTACCAATACCTTTCTCGGCCTTTTGGCTAAGATCAAGGGCCTCGCCTCACGGCGCATGAAACGAAAACGAAACGTGTGCATCTGCCCACGGAAAGTGGCAACATACACTCGTTACTATTTATAGAAAATCGATGAACCTGGCCATTTCCTGCCGGAAGATGCACTCGTTTCGTTTTTCGATTGGTGTGCCGTGCGGCGATGCCCCAAGTGTAGTATCTGTTCTGATCAGTTTAATATCTGATCTGTGGTCCATGGGGCCACTAAAAAAAAAAAGAAAAAAAAAAGAACCTACCTTCTTCCCCCGAATACAATGTACGGTCATTATAGCTGAACTTGGCGTATCTTTCAGTCAAAATACAGCCATAATGACCGTACGTTGTATCGGGGGAAGAAGGTAGTACCGGTAGTGTGACTATGCACTAAGGTTTTGGTACAAATTACTTTTCCAAAAGACACCATATCTTTCGTGAAAGGTCATCATGGATGGACATCCGGGCCCAAGTCCCACTTGGCACTTACCCGAATTCTCAACTTCTGACTGACCGTAGATTACAAAGATCAACGGCCAGAAATGAAGAATCAGCGTAAGTGGGACTTGGACGCCGGAGGGTCTTTTCTCCAGAGAGAACTGTATGGCATTTTGGCTGGAGAAAGAAAAGTGGAATGACCTGCAACATCACAGACTGAGACGTGTGTTGATTTCTGAGTTTTCCCGCTGAAATGTATGCCTTGCTGAGATTCCTGTGTTGTGTTGTGTTGAATTTCCTAAGTCTGTACGTGTGGGCGTGTGCCTGTCTGAGTGCACGTCCTCCTGAGTGTGTGCGTGGCCCGACAAGGCACTTGTATGTTGTGAGGCCTCCGGGGCGGTACTTACCTGTGGCCGTGACTTTGAGGGTTGCAGCGGGGCGCAGGAAACCAACATATGTCTGTGTAGGATCCTCAGAGACTATACGTGAAGAATCCGAACAAAAAACAGAGTCAATTCACATTCTGTACTATGATATCAATCAACACTGATCATTTACAGTTACATGGTTAGCAGGATTGATTCTGTGATGCAGAATCCGAAGAGTGGAGATCAAGGTCAGCGACCTTTCAATGCTGGTCCTGGCCACTTAGCGCGACACTTACGGCAGCGAGGAAAAACACTCGTTGACAAGTAGCAGGTTGGACGGGATTCGAACTCCTGACCTGTTTCTCAACAGTTACATGTGTCCCATGCAGCCACATGGGCCCCGTTGCCAATCATATATCATACCCTCTTTCCCCTGAGCACAAGACACCATCATTATGGCTGTACAGGGCCCAAAAGATAGCTTGTATACATTCATTATCAGGGTGCATTATGTGTCGGGGGAAGACGGTAGTACACACAACACGAGGGCAGTCGATGTAGGAATAGCATCTTTTGTGGGCTGCGATGCATGTTCCGCTGAAGCTTGGATGACAATAACTGAAAATGACTACATCCGGTGCACCTACTGGGTGTGTTGTTAGCACCTCAGATCCTGATCACTTTGCTGTAAATCATGATGATGAGGGGGACTGTGTTCTCATCAGCATCATGCATCTCGACAAAAAGGAGGACATCCGTATCAATCTCATTCCTACATGATGTATCAATGGGACGCTGGACCCGGTTTCCAGCAGGTGCCGCTCCCCACCAATAGATGGAGCAGCCCGACAGGTAAGCCCTCGATTCTGACGGTTCTCTTACCACCGCCAGGATAGAGGGATATTGTGAGGGCCTTTCTTAAAAAAAAATAAAAAAAAAATGGAAAGATACAGAGAATGAAGATTAGCATCACCCCTGGGCAAGGATGACATGCATAAATTAAAAAAATGGTCCAATTTTTTTTTTTTTCCAAATAGGAGAGGACACAGTATTGAGGCTGAAGAATGGAAAAAGAGAAAACAGAAAAGGACAGAGGTTGATAGGGTGTTGCAAAGATGATTGCATGTGGACAGAAGGGACATGAAAAGTGTCAAAGTCGGAATGCAAAATGAGCAGACGAAGGAAAAGCAAGGTGTATAAAATATGGAAACATAAGCTACCAGCTGGGCCGCCCGGGTCACCCTKKTTTYCCRGGSSGSCCRGSC